CTCATGACAAATGTCTTCGACTGGTCGAAAAAAAATTGGAACTGAATCGGCTCTGATTTGCTACATAATGTGGAAAATATCTGTATCTTCACACTTGCTAGTACGACCACAAATGTAAACTTATTTTAGTTTACAAGAGAAATTTCACATTTTTTTCAGCAATCGAGAAATTTTCTAAAGCCTTGCGAATGGAAAGTGAAAGGAACAACTCCATGGGTCACTGATCTTGTTACAATCAGTAATGTTTGTCAAACTAAAAAGATTTCTTAGTTCTCTATTGTTGTTCGAATTTCAGCAAGATAGAAGTTAACTGATGTTGCTGCTGATAATCATGTTGTTTATAGATAACAAATAAAGACATAACGAAACCTCAATACTCTGCGTTCCTCTTTCCGTTTAATGGTCATTCTATCTGACCAATTTGATTCTAAAAAAGATGGCACTAGCAGTTTAATGTGCATTGTATTTACCTCAAAATTAAATCTTCATTTCTTAATTATAAAAAAAAGCAAAATTCTCAAAAAGAAGAAAAAGATACGTTTAGATTTAATATTAACCAAAAGCTGAGACTTATGACCAATGAAACCAAACCATGAATCATGTTTCATTAAGTATTTTATTCTATTAATAAGCTATATTTAGATAAATGAACTAACTCGTATGTCGAGAAAAATAAATTATTCTTAATGTCAATAATTTATATTGTAGCTAATATCGTCGCTACTACTTTGTTTTCCATATTACTGTCATATTTATAGGTCTACTGATGGTAATATGCTAAAGTCATTTTAATTTTCTAGATATTAATAAAACCTGCCTTTCTCGGATTTATTCAAAATGTCTGAAGACATTGAAGCAATTAATGTAACTAAAAAGAGTTCTGCTCGGAAATCGGACGTTTGGAATTATTTTAAACGTATTGAAACCAATGGTGTGTTTCTGGCTCAATGCTTGAAAAAAGAATGTAGTAAAATATTATCAACACCAAACTGGACAACATCGTCTTTAATCAAACATCTGAATTATGTTCATAAAATTCGTGATTTAAAAAAGTTACCACGTTATCGTTTTCGTGCATCTGGAGGAGTGCAGAAATTATCAAAAGAAAAAAAAAGTCATATTGATCGCTTAGCATTAGAAGCTATTATAAAAGATGGTAGAAGTTTCAACGACTTCAACAAAAGTGGATTAAAACGGTTTATACAAAATATATTCCCAGGTACTTTCTAAAATATTTAAGCTATTGGAAGCTGATCGGAAAAGATTTTTCAACTTTCGGAAAATGGTCAGGTGTTTTATTTGATCCCGGAAATCCTTAATGCATTTTGGGTAGCAACAAAAGAAAATCCGAAAATTTGTGGGTTTCGATATTGTTATTATCATGAATTTCCTACGAATTTTCGAATGGTCAGAAATCCATTTTGACCAATTTTTGACAATAGAATCTTTTTTAGGTGATAGCTATAGCTTTATAGCTTATTTCTATTTAGTCATGACGAAAAATAATAACAGCTTTTTCCACTTGAAAAGAATGTACCATACGAAGGCCTTTAGATTTCTAGATTTGAGCACTTTTTTATGAGCTATTTACAGTTCTACCCACAGCTTCTTCATACAATTACTCTAACAGCTTTTCATATGAGGCTACTAAAATGGTTCGTACATTTTTTGTACCTAGTCGATAATACCATCCATTATCTTCTTTCGTGTTCTTAATTTCTTAAAACTTAAGTCAAAAAATGTTCATCGGAATATCTTTCAAAAATTGAACTAAAAAGTTTGATCCTGGAGAATTTGTTTCATAAAATATTTTCATCTTTTCTTTGAAGGATACTCTCCTCCACACCGCAATATTATTCAAAGAAAACTTCAAGATTTATATGACCATCACCATAAATTAATGATGAACAACTTATCAGATATATCTGACATTGCAATTACGACCGACTTTTGGTCGGACAGAAAGTCTAAATCTTATTTAGTATTGACTGGACATTTTGTTACTGAAGAATTTAAATCGAAGTCTGTTATTTTGAGCTTTTCAAGTTTCAATAAACGCCATTATTCTGATTTGATTAGCAAAGAAATAGAGAAAAAACTTGTTGAATTAAACATATTCCACAAAGTAACAACAATTACATCTGATAATGCTCCCAATATGTTGGGATTGTTCCAATATTTATCTCGTTCTGATATAAAACATATTCCATGCATGGCGCATGTTCTTCATTTAATATTATGCAATGGTCTTGGTATATGGGAAACAATAACAGATAATAATGATAAAATTTCTGGTGAATCTACCAATGAAAATTTAATTAATTTTGATGACAGTATTAGTCAATACTTAAAAACCATTAATATTAATAGTGATGGAAGTTGTAATATGCCAATATCAAATGTCAATCAGTCGGTTGAAGAAGAAATACAATCCGGTGATGAAGTAAGTACTATATGGTTACAATTAGAATGATATACTGACAAATTGTCTCATAGAGCTCTTAAACTCATTTAAAAAAGCGTGCCATTGGAAAAAAATTGAAAACATGTCTTATATTATAAGTTTTTTCGAAAGGATTAATATCAACGTAAAAGTTGATAGTTTGGAGATCGATGAGTTTCAAGTAGTTACGTTAAAAACAGATTATATATCAAACATTTATTTTTTTTTATTCAGACGTGTGAAAATGAAACAATTGATGATGAAAATGATTCGAATTCTGTGGTAACAAATTCATCTGAACTTAGTGATGGGGGAGCCGCGAAAACTCGAACTTAAAACTTACACT